ACGTACGTACTACTACTATAGTAGTACGTACACTAACACACACACACACACACACACACACACACACACACACACACACACACACACACACACACACACACACACACACACACACAGGGCCTCACGTTGGTAGAACTGTAGGGATGTACTTGAAGATAGTCCAATTGAAATGTGGAAACATACTGTACAATGTTTGACTAACTAACATCTACAGTAGAGACGTCAGTTCTACTCACACTGCTGTGTCAATAGATTAAACAAGGCTAAAGTGTGCTTGGACTGCTGCGAAAGCTAACCCCGCTACTTACTTCCTTTTGTATCTTCACAACCAAAACTCACTTAACTACATTCCAACTGTACTACTACAGTACTTTCATTTGTTACTTTAAGTTGTGACTCACAATTTAAACATGTTGAGATTATTTAACAGATCCAGCTTTATTATTATTTTTGAATAAACTGCAGTAAATGGACCAAAATCTTTAATTTATATGCCAATGTGTGAGATTTAACTTGTGCTTTGTGTGATCATAGATGCAGTAAGAGTTAGACATAATTAGAAATGACTAAGAGTGCACTTTCTGTTAAGATCGACACATTTTCAGCTCTTGTGAACAATAGTTTAGCCAACATTCAAACTTCTCATGCATTGCCTAAACTCAAGAAATGAACAATGAAGATTCTTAGTGTAAGCCTTAGTTTTACCTCTATGGGCGATTTTCTCACAGAACACTTCCTGCAAAGATAAATTGAAGAGGATTTTCACCAAGAACGGGAAATTTAGCTTACAGAGGGAACATAACATTTGTTATTAACTGCATGTTAAATTGTCCTTGTTTGTTAACAGGGTGTGGTCAAAATAAAGGACAAGGTTTTGGTGGTGGCAGTAATAGGGGCATGTTCTGGAAGTGCTCATGATTCTCGCTGCATGATAATGCAAGAGGATATTACTGTGGAAAAAAACCAACAAAACAAAGACAATTTAAATGCTTTTAGACTCAAGCAGAAAAACATCACACTATCAAACGCCACCAAGCCCTCATGTCCATCGTACAATAAATGATTTCCCTAAAGACAGACGCTGGCAGCCTGAGCATACATCGGTTCATAAATAATTAACAACCATTTTCACTGTAAAGCCTCCTGGATGACCCAACTCAGACAATTAAACAAACCTAAACCTAACCCTAACCCAACAACTTTTCTTAAATAACCAACCTCAGAATAAAACATCCGTGAGCCTCAACTAATTGTAATTAACAACATTACTTTTCTAGGGTTACAATGTAGATGTATGCATTTGTTACTTCCAAACCTGTATAATTGTAATTTTGGACTTATTATATATTATGATAATACAATATATGTTATTTCCAATGGTAAGGGGAAGATTTTATTTGAGCTCTGTTTTGGGTCTCCACCAACTTTTAAGCATAATGTCTGTCTCAAAGTGGCTCACTATGCTCATTAGATAGTCACTAGCTTTGTCAGCTGTTTGTTGCTCACTGGGTAGTATATAGTGGGTTGATAGGGTATTAAGAGAAAAGTTCAACCCTAAACCTAAACTGTCAATTATAAACAGTTTACAGACTAGCTTCCCGGTTAACATGTTACCTTAGATTTAGAGGTTTAAAGTGTTAGCTTCTCTGATAGTCTGTTTGTTATTTCAGCCCACATGACTACTTTAGATATTGGGAATTACTCTGGTGACTACTTAACTGATAGATATGATGGACAAATCTAAGGAACTAATACCAAGTTAAAGAAAAAGGGAAAATTCCCTGATTGATTGCAAATTGTGCCCATCGACTCTCTTCAGTTACTTGTTTGTTTTATGGCTAACATTATAAAACACGTGAGGAAAATACCTATTTTGACGAAAGCTTTGTACAAGTTTAAACCCCATCCAAAAAAATTCCGATGATTATTTAGAATCCTGTCAAGTATTTAATTTTCATTTAAATAATTGATTGTGTTGTTTTCCATTCTGAAAAAAATACTTCCAACAGCCCTAACCGAATGGTATTGGACCTAATTCATTTAGACAACACCCTGTAGTTGTTTTAATAAGCCAGTGTTTGTTTTTTGAAAGTTCAGTTTAATGCCAGTATTGTTTATGTACGTATTGGACACTGTCACAAATAACAATGACAATTTATTCTGTGTTCGTAGGTGCAGTGCATGTATAATTTTTCTGTAAATCATTTTTAAAATCTATCTTCTGTTGTGAGATACTCATCAAATTGTTAACACAAGATATATTACAAACTGAAGGACGAATGTGTACATTGTCTATTCAGATGTTATTAATAAATATTTCTATATATAGCACGGATTGTTTTATGGGAAGTGTGAAATACGAGTGAATGTTTCAGAGAGATGGATTACACCGTTATGAATCCACCGCTTCACATCTGCGCGAATGCCCGGCCAATCAAATCGGGCCATTATCCGGTGTAGTGATTTGTCGTACCCTAGCCTAGGTGACCTGACATGGGGTTATGATGAGCCNATGACGGTGCAACAGACCTGCAGGTGCACATGTGCTTTCATGTAGCCCACCTGCTCACTGGTGTGTGTGTGTGTGTGTGTGTGTGTGTGTGTGTGTGTGTGTGTGTGTGTGTGTGTGTGTGTGTGTGTGTGTGTGTGTGTGTGTGTTCTAGTGGTAAGCAATGTTGTTCAGTAAAATAAGGATCACTTTTCATTTGCTCAACTGAGAGAATTCTGTGTAAATTCAGACATTTTTAGCATTATTATCATCACTGAACAACCTTCTTATAGGCCCCAACACAATATTTGAGAAAACAGGTAACAGATTGATTCTTAAAAGTGTCTTTGCCCTGGACTATTAAGCTATTTTTGGTCATTGGATGTTTCTGAAGGTGCTTTAAAAGACGTTCGAATGATTTAGTCACAGCAGGACGGCTTTGATTATAAGAAAAATGGTTGACGTAACACTCAGGCAGCGAGGCATTGCATTTGAAAGTGCCTTTATTACACTAAAAATTACTTAAATTTGAGCAGCAATATTTTTTCAATTATTTAACACACACTCTTAAAGGACACACTCACACACGAATACACAGACACACACACAGGCCTGAATGTCTTACTGTGGATTTAATAAGACTTCTTCCCAGGAAAACACAATTTATTTTCGTTGGAAACAGGAAATTTGATTTGATAAAAGTGGTGCAGAGAATCAGCAAATTGTGGGTACTATTTGTTCCTCGAAAACTTTACATTATTGGCTAATATAATCCAACTGTTGAATGCCTCTCTGCACTTTCATTTCGTCTGTGAGGTTTGCATGTCTGGTGTTCAACCACCTGCACATTTATCTTCCATTTACAGATTTCACACTATGCGATTTATTTGAAGTAGATGTAACTAAACGTGTATTAGAGGAAACAGCTGCTGAGGGAAAAGTGTAGCCTATATTTTATTACCCTAATAACTACATTTCAAGGCCATACCGTATATTACAATCATGGTTTGGACAATGTGCCTTTCTGTGTGTGCAAAATAAAGTGTATCCGCATGCACACACGCATGCACACACACTGGTGCAGACAGGCACACACATTCTTATCATGCCGGGTTCCCGCAGATATTTTCCTCAGGGCAAAGGAGAGCGCTTTGTAACAAATGCATGAACCATAAAGTTCATAAAAATAGCTTTATCATGATTTTATATACTTACGATTTATACCTCACCCCATCCATTAGGGATTTCCAAGAGGTAACCATAAACTGAATTATTGTGGTTATCTTTCTTCCCCCTAAGCAAGCCATTTTATTAAACTTTCATTA